CGCACCGTCGCAGCCGTGTCCACCGCCGCAACACTGCGAATACCGCCCACCGCCACAGCCGCAACAACAGCACACGTGGGAGACGCAGGAGTACGCCAGTGCGCCGCAGCCAACTCCGGGGCCCTCCGGCCTGCCTAAGCGAGAGCCATACCCGAGCCCGGCTGGCCCCAGCGACAGGCCAGTACAGCTAGCCGAATACAACCCGTCCACGAGCAAAGGACACGAGATTCTTTCTCAAGTATATCAACAGAGTGCGCAACCGCTGCGGCTTGTCGCGGTCAAACCCCGCAAGTATCCCAACAGGCCGAGCAAAACTCCCGTCCACGAGCGACCATACGCGTGTCCAGTGGAAGGCTGCGACCGCAGATTCTCACGATCAGACGAGCTGACGCGGCACATACGCATCCATACGGGCCAAAAACCGTTCCAGTGTCGCATCTGCATGCGCTCTTTCAGCAGATCGGATCACCTGACGACGCACGTACGAACTCACACAGGCGAAAAGCCATTCGCGTGTGATGTGTGCGGTCGCAAGTTCGCGCGGTCTGACGAGAAGAAGCGGCACGCGAAGGTGCACCTGAAGCAGCGGCTGAAGCGCGAGCGCGGCGGCGGCGGCGCGCACCACCACGAGCACGGGCACGCCTCGCTCTAGCACGAGCCCGCCGCCACGGCCACCGCCGCGCGGCCCTCATCCGAGTCTTCTGACGACAGTGACCACAGTGGCGGTGACTCTTACACGGACAACTGAACTTTTTATACTTTCACGTTGAAATTATCGAATGATTTCATCGCTTAGGTGTAAATGAATTGTCTTTAACAAAGCTTTATTAACTCTACATTTGTAAATTCACTGAAATTTATATATATCTTTTTATACATATTTGTAATTACTATGGTAGGATTCGATTTGCTCGATGTATTTATTTAATTAGATAGGTTAATTGAAAAACTGACTGGGAACAAACGTAGATACGAAGCGATGTGGCCTAATGTGTCCAGTGTGTGTGTCGTTACGTTTCGATGCAAAGAGAACGCTGTCGCCTCGTGTGTCGGCATTATGTGAACACATATCTTTCTGTCTGATGGCAGTCCAATGGATAGGCTTAGCTGTGTCTCGAAAGATATTCTCTTGTTATGCTATCGATTAGTTGTACGTTGTTGTAGTATTACGAGGAACAAGTGACCGTTTTCTTACGGAGATGAACTTTACAAGTAATTTGACTGAAACCGTCTTCTTGACATCGACAGTCGACAGCGGGAACTAATTGATATCTAAGTAAATAAGTATGTGACAAATTTTGAGGGTACCTACCGCGTGTGTGGGTATATGTATGTAATATTCTTTTGTTTGACAAACTAACGTGAAACTGTGCCATTAATTTAACTTTATAACGTGCCACTGCAATTTTATTTTTATTTACATAATTATGTAATTAAATAAGTATAACACGACTGCTGAATAAGTGATAACTATGATTATTTCGTTATACTATATTTCTAGTCGAAGATAAAGTATAAACGCGAGAATGTCGACTATTATGTTTGTGTTTAGGTAATATTGATGTCTGCCATTACTAACCGTAGGTATATACATATATATATATTTACGTTTCGACAGCTGCTGTCATGATCTTCTCTTGCTCAAACGTTTAATTTTACTAAATTTGCTCAAGTCTGCTTCTGGTACATATTCCAAGAGATATGGTTCCTCTACATTTCCACTAATGTTCTTTGTTTCGCTCACACCATGTGTTGCCCTCTTCGTGCACTCGTTGTTCAGTAATTTCACTATGAAGTTTTCCCAGTGGCATATATTTTTATAGTGTACGTATTATTACATAGACTAATCTAGTAAAAGTTTAGCATGTAGCGTTTAAATTATGATCTCTTAATCATTAATAATTATTTTCAATCGTAGTGAAGGCCCTTTATTTATAATACTCATAAGTTTCTGTATAGTTGTAACTATGTGTAAGATTCATATTTTGGATTTCAGTAACTGTGATGACGATGTTACACTGTCTGCTAGGGGCGCGGTCACGGCTTGACCGCTAGCTTCCTGGTAAATTATTGCCTACTGCATTACTTACAAACTTTAAGACATTTTTGCATTATTATCAATTGTTATTAACTAAATAAGGTGTCCTATATATGGTAGGATTTCTTATTCGTTCACTTATATAATGTTTACCTAAACGAAAACCGTTTCGAGTTTTTAAGTAATGCGGTTTCAAAACTTAATGTTGTCTCTCCTTGTTTTTCTCATTAATGTTAAGCACAAAATAGTCGTAGCTTTGACATTTCATAATTACAGTAAAAATGTTTTTATGGAACCGCCTTCGTAACTCTTGATACTTTTGTACAAGTTCCATGTAAAATATTTTTGTTGGGTACATACATACATAATACTAGTACAAACATCATGCTCTTAGAATAGGAATGTATCACAAACAGCGCCGTCGTAACAATCCGGATATAGGTACAACAGACTGTTAAAGTTTCACCGATTAAACCGTGATAGTACTACAGGGTGGGCCTTTCAGTAACGTCGGTCATTATGAATTTAAGAAATCTGACAATAATATTGCTAACTCCTGCGCCAATGTAACCCACTAACTGTTAATGGGAGCGGTTCAGTCCACCGTGCACACATTATCACGTTCTCTGTAACATGTGTTTGTCATCAGTTAGGTCAACTTTTGGAGCACTTACAGCCAGCTCGTAACACTAGAGCGCCGTTCCCAAGTAATCCAGTCGCTTACGCAGCCTTTGTAGGATGTCGCCGAGAGCACGGTCGCGCCGCGCCTGCGTGCACGCACACGACCGTGCTCCCGCGCTTCAATAGAATGTCGTGTACGAGTTTATAATGTTTTTACTGTTATAGAAGAGACGAAGTCTCCGATAGACAAGGCTAGAGTAGATAGGTATTATAAATCGTATTCATGTTAAACAAACGAGTGAAATTGAAACGGAAAAGACTAAATTCTTACACATTTTACATAATGTTGCATCGCGTTCGCGTTAACGTTATTGATATACGGTGTTTGTATTAGGTTACGAGTTACGACTTGGCCATTGTTTGCACCGGCCGGCGACCGCTGGCGGTCGCGATGGTGGTAGAGCGATCTCGCATTGTTGCATTATGTTTTACATTCACACAGTCCCGTGCTTCGATCACACGAACACTTCATCATAATATACCTAGCTCGTTAAGGACTTTCAACAAATACGATATCTAACTTTTATGGTGTTCACCTGATAGTGAATGGAAAACGAATTCTTAATGAAATTGTGGATGATTATTGTTTAAGCTATTTTATGTATTTCACCCGAGTGAAAGATGTTGTTGATGTTCTATAAATATAACTAGTTATAAGTAGGTATTGTTAAATCTCACTAATTTTTACTAAATTCTATTTAATTAAAATATTTGTAAATACACTCTGACTAAATTTGAATTTAATGTGTATATAAGAGAAATGAAATTTTTATTTAATGAATCCACCTAAGGTGACGAAATACAAATTGTTGAAAATTTGAATCTTGAAGTTTATATTCTGCCTTCTACACCAAATATCAGACCAAATGCCCAGTGTATTGAAAACATACTAATAGCTATATCTACTCCAAAAAATGGTAAGTATATAATGCACATAATAAGAATAACAAAGGTGCTATTACAATGCGTATCCATTGCCTATACAAATACACTTATTAAACCACCATTGGTACCCCCCCCCCACAATAAATTGTAGTTTAAATTCAATTCGCTATTAACAAAATCTTTAAGAAAGAATAAAAAAATACAAATTTAAATTTATTCATTCCAACAGATTAAAAATACTTGTCAGTTGCCCATCAAATATACAAACGAAACCGAAAAACCAAAACTATGTCGAACCGTAGATCAAATATTGAGGAACCTACTATCAATTTAGTTCCATTTTGATTCAAAATTAAGACAATTTATTCTTACTAGCGCCATCTACCTTACGATGGTATAAACGTTACCTTTCTACGGTGATATAGCGTCATTATATAAAAAGAATAAAAGACGCAAGCGTGTGGCAGGGCGTATGCGGACATCTTAGTACAATAGTTTGCTAGCTAGATGGCGCTACATATTGCAGAACCAATCCAAGACAATGAAAAGGTTCAATAATCCTTAACTATATATATTAAACCATTATACTACAGAAGAATAAAATAACTACAAGCTGTATAATACGAATATATGGGATAGTTTGAGCTTCAAGGAAAATTAAATGAGAAAATACAACTCGAACAAGTACACAGGGTATATAATAACGGTTGTTGAAATACCTAAAATAAATGACTGATATATCATAGTAAAGTATTAAATAACATTTAAACTTTCTGAACTTTAAAAAGGCATTCGAACGGTATTGTAGTATAGATCTATTTTTTAAATGACTGTATTTAATAAATCATTATGTAGTAATTGAAATCATTTCTTACAAAGTAGAAGATTTTCAGAACGAAACCAAAGATTCTGAGCTTTATTTACTGTATAAATAAAAGGGCTTCCCCAAGGTGCCGTCTTGGGGCCATCGTTTTATTGTTTTTTTCTTGTGAATTAGTCAGAGAGAATAGATTATAATGGCATATTATGTATGGTATTTTTCGAGCTATATATTAAAAGCAAGGTGTTTAAATATGATTTAATTATTCGGTGTTATGCACGTATCATTTAATGTTTTATGTAACTTCTATCTGTGTTTTGAATACTTTAGCTTCTATTTTGTTTAATATTCTGTAATTGTTGTATTTATAAAACTTGACTTTAAAAAACCTCGAGTCCTTATCGTGTTTGAAATTAATTAACATTTTCCTGTTGTTAACTATAATATATTTCAGTGTCGTTTTAAATGTGTATAAATTCTTGCTGCTACCACATCGGCTGTTAATATCGTTATGGGATATATCCGTATATATTGTGTTACCTTGCAGGAAAGGGTTTTAAAACTCAAATCAAAGAATATTAAAGAAACGAGTGATGATATAATTTATATAAAACCACGAACATATTTATAGGAACAGATACATTTCTTCAAAATCATAAAAAATATAATTTGCTTTTATGCTAATTTAAGTATGCAAAATTTTGGGATAAATTACAATACTGGACTGATAAAATAATCCAACCAAGCTTTATTATTTACAACCATTTTAGAATCACTTTCTCTTATTCAAATTTCTGGTCCAGTACATAATGGCAATCAAAATATTACATCAATGGCAATCAACAGTAATGTAACATAATATACAATTTCCTCCACCTATTTCCATCTACTTGCCGAAATTGCTTATGGGTTATAAGTATCATCTGTCTTGTCATGAACATTAAATGAGAAATATTAAAACTTATGTGACAAAGCGAGTCGTGAACCTAAATATGGGTAAACGACGGGAACAGGATGATTAAAGATGGATAGATTATAATGGATATTAACGAGGAGAACTGAAATAAGGACATTTACATCAACTCCAACAAGTAACATGGGATATGGCCAGGAAAAAGGATCATAAACTTGATGACGAATGTATCTTACTCTATAACATATGAATATACCTAAAAATTATGCATCCACATCCACCAAAATATAATGTTCTCTTCTATATTTTTACATGAACTTTCTATGTATGTATTTATCATTCTGTTTAGTACCATTGGAATGATAAAAAGAAACTTTGAACTATCACACTTTTAAGGTTATATTATAAACTTTTATAAACAAAAAGAAATTATAAATAAATGTTATAAGAAAATGAATATATTAAGCACCTAATTCATATCAGTCTTAGATTTTAAGCTATGACGTCCGTTTACCTTCCCGAATCGACGATTAAGGTAATCTAACCTATGTCTAAGACAATACCAGAAATATATTAATTTATCTAAAATAACCAATTCAAAGCGGTCTGTCTCCACTAGTCATTAATTTAAGTGTATCTGTTGTAAGTTCATTATCTAAATAAATATATGTTGAAACTGTAACTTCCTTTCTACCGTGTACGAAATAAAAGAAGCATGAGTTTCGAAAACAAATGTTATTTAATATATTTTTATATTAACAATGTCAATAACTGATAGAAAGCAAGGTACTGATACTAAAGGATTTTCTACCGTGTATTCGCCTTCGCTCGCTTTGTCATAGCTACAACTAGAACACCGAATAAACATTCAGCTATTGCTAAGACATAGGATAACAGAAAATATATTAGACACGCAACATCTAAAAATATTCGATATAAAAACCCAGTCAAACCAAGTACAAAACTGTACACACAATAGAAAAACAACTAGACGCAACGAGCGCGTTTCTATGCTTATTATATAAATAATTTTTAATATTTTGTCGGTTTAATAAATCTGTCATTAGACGAAAGACTAGAAAGACCGCGTGTATTAGAGCAGGATGTTTACCAAGCAGCACATAGTGTGCTATGTTGTCTCCTCGTAGTGCTCTTCTGCCTTCACGAGGTTGGGTTCCGACTCCGAGCGTCGCTTGAGGCCATCGGCATCAGGCGACAGTGGCCGCTCCAATACTTCGGCCTGCGCACTCACGGCGGCGGCCGCTTTAATGTCCGGAGCGCTTCTACTTACATCCACCTATAAAAAAGTTATACTTACGTCAATTTTTTCATAAGATCCTTGGTAAGAATGATGCATGCTCGACGTGACTACAGATTACTACAGATCCAATCCAACTTCTGTGAATCTATCCTCGAATATACTTTAGTTGATTTTTTCTGACTTCAAAAAACATATTAGAGAGATCACAGAATAAAGAGGATCTAGCAGATCAAGTATTTCTATTTTTTATTGTTAATGTGTGAGATTTGTGACCCATTTACCTCTGGACAACGTAATAAAAAAACAAAGTTTACCAGTTCTGTTTCAAGGAAATCACCACCCTCCTGTTTGACTTGTGTGTTCATTTTGTCACTCAGGTAACACACGCCATTTAGGTCGATGGCGCTGTTGGAGAAGATGGCCGCGGCACCAACCGATGCGTCTACCAGCGATTCGGTCTGGAAAAATATCAAGATAGCATTTCATTAATCTTACTAGTCAGAGAACTACGTCTCGGTACGAATGGACCGGCTTGACTGACATGAAAAATCGAGTGCAGTCATATTAGGGTATTAAACCAGGTCTATAAAATTCTTGATATAAAATAATACTTATACTGTAATCCATTATACATAGTCTGGCCATAAATACTGTTACAATTAAAAATAAACAAAATATTACATTTGAATTTGGAATCTGTCATTTTTATATAATTTTTCATTGTGTTTTCTTATTTTGGCGCCAATAAATTGTTCAATATTTTGCGATATTAAAATGGAGTGGGGTGATAAAGAGAACCGAATCGCTGTGATTGCATTACACAAAGTGGGTATGGAGCCAAATGCAATTATTAAAACTCTCCACACGCTTGGCATTAGTCAAATGTTTGTGTACCGGGCTATTAATAGGTACAATGAGACCTCCCCTGTTTGTGGCAGAAAAAGATCTGGCCGTCCACGTAGTGTTCGTACGAAAAAGGTGGTCAAAGCAGTAAGGGAAAGAATTCGAAGAAATCCTGTCCGAAAGCAAAAGATTTTATCTCGGGAGATGAAGATAGCCCCTAGAACCATGTCGCGTATTTTAAAAGACGACTTAGGACTTGCAGCCTATAAGACATTTTTTAAATGATAATTTAAAAAAGAATAGGGTGATAAAATCTAAACAACTACTGAAGCGGTACGCAAAGGGAGGTCACAGAAAAATCTTGTTTACGGATGAGAAAATTTTTACAATTGAGCAACATTTTAACAAACAAAATGACCGTTTTTATGCTCAAAGCTCTAAGGAAGCTTCTCAATTAGTCGACAGAGTGCAACGTGGGCATTATCCGACTTCAGTGATGGTTTGGTGGGGTGTTAGCTATGAAGGAGTGACTGAGCCATACTTTTGCTAAAAAGGTATCAAAACATCCGCACAAGTGTATCAAAATACCATTCTTGAGAAGGTAGTTAAGCCCCTTAACAACACCATGTTCAATAACCAACAATGGTCCTTCCAGCAAGACTCGGCGCCGGGTCATAAAGCTAGGTCCACGCAGTCTTGGTTGGAAACGAACGTTTCCGACTTCATCAGAGCTGAAAACTGGCCGTCGTCTAGTCCCGATCTTAATCCGCTGGATTATGATTTATGGTCAGTTTTAGAGAGTATGGCTTGCTCTAAACGTCATGATAATTTGAACTCCCTAAAACAATCCATACGATTGGCAGTGAAGAATTTTCCCATGGAAAGAGTGCGTGCTTCTATTGATAACTGGCCTCAACGTTTAAAGGACTGTATTGCAGCCAATGGAGACCACTTCGAATAGGCTTTTTATGTTTTAAATTGTTTTATATTTATGTATTAAACTTACATACTGTAAAAGTAATAAATGTTATTAGCAATAAAAAAATTTTTTTTTTTATTTGTAACAGTATTTATCGCCAGACTATGTATATAATATAAGGGTTCAGTTCCATAGGGGTGGAGCGGAGCAGAGCGGAGAAGGGAGCGTTATAAGTTTTTGTGTTAGGGATTTGAGAATTGAGGGATTTGCGATTTGGAAAAGGAGTCCTCACAAACATATGAAACATACCAGTATTCTGTGAGGACGGGGTTTCACTACGGTAGAGTCATCAAAATCGTGCTGAAGAATGGCTCCACTACACTTCAAGCTAAAATACTTAATATATAATATTTACCAAAACTACATCCTCTGGAACTGTAAACTTCAACTGTGTTGGCTTTTTCGGTGGTGGCATCTCAGCTTCCGGTTTATGGACGTAGGAATTATCTTTTGGGGTCAAGTCTTTTTGCTCCCTGAAACAACAATTAGGGTATTTTGTGTTCATACACTGTCTTGTTGGTTACTGTGTCCTGTTTGAAGCAATATAAAAGAAGGAGGCATTTGTTCAGCAGTGGATGCCTCCCAACATATGGAATGGGCGTGAGAAAACAATTATAAAATTTTCTCACCTTTTGGGTGTAGCGTGATAACTCTCGTTCTTTTCCGTTTGATGCTGTGTTATCAAATCGCAAGCTTTTCCAAGTATAACGATGGACACGAGAACTCTAACTGATATTAGGCACAAATATGCTAGAGTTATTAAAAATATTGCTGCGAATCTGAAATGTAACAACAATATTATTTTTCTGAATCGGTGGCATTTTTTCTATAAAATAAAAACAAAAAGTATGAAAGAATTCTAATGGGGCAGACGTCATAATCGCGATGCGCAATGACTGGGCAACCATTACAGAAAGAACCAAATATAAATACTTCATAATGTGTACATACTAAGAATAATGAACAATGCTATAACATAATAGCATTGTTTTTTTTTATTGTTTATTTTAACTTACCCATCAACTTTAACGGCGTGGACTAGTACTCTGGTTATAACGACACCGAGAGGCAAAGGTATAAAACCCATTCTGCGTGCCACTAAATCCGAGTGGTCACTGAACGCGTACTTCTGTCTTGTCTGTGCCACATCGTAGGCCAAACTCACTGTGTATTCTCTATATACACCATAGGGAATCTCATTGAACCTGGACAAGTATACAAAAATGGTTTGGTTCTTACTAATATTATACATGCGAAAGTTACGGTGTTTGGATGTTTGTTACTCAATCACGCCAAACGGCTGGACGGATCTGGATGAAATTTGGCACAGGCTACTTTTTATCAACAAACCACACGGGCGCAGCCGCGGGCGGAAGCTAGTAGCTAATATTATTTCAATGTTTAATTTAGTAAATAGCAAACGAAAAAGGTTTCATAAAAAAATTAGAAGCGGTTTTGTGGATTACATACATTACATACACAGTAAACAAAATATTACCTGGTAATAAAAGCATGTTTAACCCAATCAATGATGACCTCGAAAGTAAGGACTAGGACACAATCAGGCGCGAGTATCCAGAACCGTTCCTCCTTCCACATATACTCCTTCATAGTTTGAAGAACAACTATGAATAGCAGCACAGACAAATGGAGTCGTTCCCTCACATCACTACAAGACACTTGGAACAAGTTGTTCTTGTCGAACTTCTTGAACACACTGCCTTTCAGTTCCACAAACTAAAAAGAGAACATTTTGTAGAGAAAAAATGTCATCTCAAGAACTGCTATACAGATTTTGTATAGCAGATATGGATTTGCATCAAAGGGTAGTGTTAGATGACAGTAATGGTGAAATATATACATATTGATATTTCAGCAACTAGCATAAAATTTAAATACAATATAAATAACCATCTTTGCTTCTGGTTATCAAGTAAATTATTCAGTGTTTCCTATTACTGTGTTTCTTATCAATTTGAATAAGAATTGAGTTTATTTATTCAAAGAAGGGATCCAATTCTATTTTTCACTTATTTTAATAAAATGGAGCAATTTGATACTATAATTTTTCTAGTCTCTAGTCGACAGCAAGTCTAGTTATATTTTTGTAAAATTAAATTATGAAAGTCATAAGCAATTTTATTTTTCATTGCTATTATTGTTGTTTGATACTTACATTGTTAGACATCATTATGATAAGGAGACTTTTATTATTTGAGTTGAAGGCTACATTCAGAGTTGTTGCTTGGAATAATACTAGCAAACTGTGAAGAACTGAAATTTTTGCTAAAGAACATTATTGATGAACAGTGATTATTCTATCTCACATGAATTATATCTATCACATACTAATTAATCTATCGTATATTAAAAAAAGATCACTAAGCCATCATAATTATAAAAGAATCCACTAATCACTTTTAAAGTGAAATCATCACAGTTATATGACAAAAATTGACAGAGGAAAATTTTACAAATAAGGAATTTTTTTTGAGAAATTAGATTTTCTTAAAAATAATACAATTAAAGTAATACAACAAATTAACTGTTTATCAATATTGATAGTAACAAAAAGTATTGTGGCATCCAACCCTGTATTTAGAATTATCTATTGTATGAAGGTTAGCAAACATTTCTGGCATTCCATTTACTTCTACTCTGAGCCAATTGTTGTAGCAATGTCAACCAGATTAAAATTAATTGTATGGTTTAGTTCAATTAGCAAAACTATAAATATAGATAATCTGATTTAGCAATACTACTAAACAAATGAGAATAAGCTTTCACAATTTGAAGAAATATTTTGTGATATCTCTATGAGTTATCATAGAACTTTTGTTATTGTTAGAAACCCTGTTAAAAAGGATACAGACATAGATCATAGCAAACAGCAGATGAGGTATTACACCTAAATGTTCCCTTCTTCGATCTCTTGGCTCTGTAGCAGTCCAAAACAGAGCATCAATAGTGTCTTGTCCAAAAGCTGAGAATAATCTATCACCAACCTCCAGCATATTATAAAATATATATAATTTCATCACACTCTGACTCTTCACTAAGTGATACATCATGTTAGTGTCTATGTAGCACATTAGAATACTACAAATAACCAATATAAAACCTTTAAGCATGTCACAAGTTTCTGCTGGTTTTAATATACTTTTACGTGAATTTGAATAAAACCTGTAACAATAAGAGATTATTAATTACCACTCAAAAAAATCTTCATATTGTGGTATAAACTTTTTTACTTACCCAAAACATTTCCTGAAAAGTCTGCTGAACAAGGTCCAAATAGCCATAATAAACCTCAAAGGAAGGAATGTGTAAACAAATAGTAAGGAGTCTGCACATTGAAAAAACCCATAAGCCATAAACTTTTCCAATTCCTGAGGAATTTTAATAAAGGAATAAACCTTTTCTCTTCTTGCTGAAAACCTTTCTTCATCGTGTTCTAGTAAATATCCTCGTGTTAACTCTACATGTAGAAAGGCAAACAAAGAGGCTGCCTTTTCCGGATCTGTAATATTCAATTCTAACGTAATAAAGATATCTAGCTACGATTCAAATCAATATTACATATGCTGTATGATATCTATAACTTTACCTTTACATTTAGTTTCCTTAGCACCTCTATCAAAACTTAGATCGCCGGACGAATTTTGTGTATTGGTTATAGACTTGAACCGTAGCCTTTTAGTTTGCTCTTGAACGTCCTCGTTTTTGTTTAACATATTGCTCAAATTCACAATAAATCAAACTGCAAATCACTTTTACATTTGTATTGATTTAATCAGAATTTGTATTTTAATGCGGTAACTAACGCTCCAAAATTTATTTATATTGACAGATTTTAATGACACAACATTGAATAATCTGACGTGATCGGTGATTTACACAGCTGACATCAGAGACATTGAGTTTGACAATTGATCATCAATTGACAGTGTCAAATTTCTTGATAAAGGAATAGACAAAAGATGGAGGCATCTGTAAAGTGTAAAGAAACTACTTATTATTTTAATTTTAATTTTCTCGAGGGATAAAAATTTAGTTTAATATAATAAAAAATTTAGTATAAATATAAATAAAAAATGGATAGAAAGGCCTCCCTTAATAATAATTATGGGTGCGACATATGTATACAAATATTTTCTGTATTAGTTGCCACTCATGCTACTACAATAATTAATGTACAGTTGGAGGTTTTTTCTATTGTTATTAAAATAACTCCTTTATCGCACACATCAAATATTTAGGACTCTTCTATATTATAAATAGAAGTCGTGCAATTGAAATAAACATAAGTTATAACTACCTATGTACATATTTGACATTGTTATAATTATTTTTTTCGTGTGTATAATACAGCATACATGGGAAATTGGTCAGTAAATATTTAAAAAAATGTTAAATGAAAGCAGGCCGCAAAGATCTTTTGCGGAGATTCTGTCATTATAATAAATCAGCGATAACAATAAAAAAAATAAGACTGACTAATCGACTAAATAATTTCTTTTTTTCTACTTGGTCATACACTACTGGCAGTGGCACGCTATCTCCGTTCATCTCCTTAAGTTGAAATTCGTTGCCTACGTTAGCGAATTTCACTAATTTTAGTCATATTTTACTACCTAAATGTTGTAAAACTTAGTGAGAACTGAACTTTTCTTTTTATCTAAAAAGATTTTAAGCTACTAAGTGTGTTAAAACTACAATTATGGCTTCGAGTGAAGGGCGAAGTGCTCAATCAAACTTGCATCAGCAAGACCTAACCAAATTGGTGAGTGAAATATTGAAAATATCTATTAAAAATGCACTGCATTCATTACTTTCGCATTAGATTACCCTGTGAATTTTTGCGCTTTACTTATCTATTTACTATAAACTACATAACCTTTTAGTGTATATTTTACACATGTACTATAAAAAAACTAGGTACTTGTATCATTAAACATTAACATTTAATTACAAAAAAAATAACTTATATATAAATGAACTTCGTTGTCACGTCACCTAAACCTTAAATTATGATGACATCTGAAAAATCACATGAAACCTGATTTGTATTGTTTTTAAATTTCAGGATGTTACGAAATTGTCGGCATTATCACCTGAAGTGATATCAAGACAGGCGACTATAAACATTGGTACTATTGGTCATGTAGCCCATGGTAAATCAACTGTAGTAAAGGCTATTTCAGGAGTGCAGACTGTCAGATTCAAGAACGAATTGGAGAGGAATATTACCATCAAGTTAGGTATGTATTTATTCATTCTTTAATTATAATTTTATAGCTGGCTAATAAAAAAACATTAATATCCGACTCTAACTAAGTAATGTTCCCACTAAATAACAATAATCTAAGGATACTTTCGATTTTAAAATGTTTTATTTGTATCTCTAATACCATACATTTTAATAATTATTGTCCCATAGCCCTTAAATTATGACTGACAGATCATGTTTTTAGACATTTGACTCAGAATAACTGGTTATTAAAATAATTCTTTTGGGTATTAAATAAAAAATATGTATAATATAAGGCTGAAGCAATATTTTATAACAAAATTTATTTGATATCATATAAACACATAGCAATTAATATACAAAATTAGTTATTTAACCAAATTTTGTTCAGATGCTATGCAATGTACCATGTGAAATGTTTTGAAAACTTGAAAGTATATTTATAATGCTTGTTGATCTTATAAGATTGATGTAAATTAATAAAAACACATGGTATGTTGCAGAGCGCCTGTCGGATTCAGTTATTAAAATGTACCGTGAAAGAGCTGATGTCAAAGATGAAAATGAGTTCTTTGAAAAGTTAAAAAGAGCAAAAAAAAGGAACTTAAGTTTTGAAATTGAAGATGAAGATATGCCTGCACCTAAAAAACAAAAGAAAAATAACCAGGAGCCTCAAGAGTACATTATTGAAAAAATCCTTAATTTTAAATATGAGTCTGGTAAGGAATATTTTCACATCAAATGGGAAGGATGGCCAGATAGTGAGAACACATGGGAACCAATTGAACATCTTGATAACTGCCCAGGTGTATTGAGAGAGTTCCTTGTAGATGAAGAACTCAAATACTGCAGTAAAATGGAAAGTTTAAAAGAAGAACTTTCATTTGGTGATTTATTGAGTGAAGAAAATCTTATCAAACGGTTTGATGAAGTAGAATCCAATGATATTGTAAAATTAAAAGAAAGTCTTACACTAAAATTACTCACTATGATAGTTTTACCTCAAGAATGTGAAGCACAAGCCACAGAGCTTGTACAAGAGACTAGAGATCTTTTACAACTTTATGTTCTCACTAGAAAAAGATGTCAGCAGTTAATGAAATTAAGGAAATGGGAAGAACACTTAAATCAAGTGGACAAATCAAAAAAACTTCTAGTAGAAAATAACTTTGACTTAGCTGGACCCCCAGAAAATTTTACTTACATAAATCAATGTATACCTGGCAGTGGTGTCACTATACCTGATGATCCACCCATTGGTTGTGAATGTTCTGCATGCAACTGTCGATCTAAAGCATGCTGTGGTATGCAAGCTGGCTTATTTGCCTACACTGCTAAGAAGAGACTTCGTGTTGCACCGGGTACCCCAATTTATGAATGTAACAAAGCTTGTAAGTGCTCCTCAGAGTGCTGTAATCGTGTAGTTCAAGGTGGCAGAAATATTAAACTAAGTATTTTTAGAACATCAAATGGATGTGGATGGGGGGTAAAAACAGAGCAACAAATAAGACAAGGGCAATTTCTCTGTCAATATGTTGGAGAAGTAATAACATTTGAAGAGGCAGAAAAACGTGGAAGAGAATATGATGCAAATGGCCTCACTTATTTGTTTGACTTGGATTTTAATTCTGTTGAGAATCCATATGTAGTGGATGCAGCTCATTTAGGAAATGTTTCACATTTCATCAACCATTCATGTGATCCTAATCTCGGAGTTTGGGCAGTGTGGGCAGATTGCCTTGATCCAAACCTTCCCATGTTAGCTCTCTTTGCTACTCGTGATATAGACATTGGTGAAGAGCTGTGTTTTGATTATCTGCAAAAAGCTTCTGACAGTGATGAAACAGAAACAAATGGTTCCGGTATAAGTAAAGATAGTTCATATGATAATGACATTCCAAGTGGCTCTGAAGCTAACACGGGCACTACACCCGTATCACCTGTCAAGTCTAGATTTGAAATACAGCAGCAGAATAGAGCTATGCTCAGGAATCTCACAGAATGTAAATGTGGTGCTTTAAAATGTCGCAAATATTTATTTTGATTGTTGCCCAACATACATAGTTTACTTCATAATATTTTCAATAGGACAGTAACTGTCATGCATAAAAAAGAATCTCACAAAACAACTGTCTGTTTTTCTTAAAAGTTTTTTTAAGTTTGACATACTGGAAAGATCAATTTTAACATTGTTTGATAATGTTGTTTTTCTGAGAAATATCAGAAGTATTCATGTACTGTTATTTTTTCCTTTCAATGCAATGTAAAGACTGTTTTAACAGATATATTGTTGAATGTTATCTAAATATGTCGAGAGATATACAGATGTGTTATACTATTTTTCTATTGATAAATTGTTAAGGCTGGTACCAATTACAAAATTATGGACTTGAATAAAATTGAAAACCAGCTAAATGTGATTTTCATCAAAGAAACTCCTCACTAGAATTTATGGATATAAAATCATGTTTGCCTTATTCATAAATATAGATATAGGTGCTCAACTGTAAATAAAAAAACTAGAATTACTCTACTGGATTTATAAAATTCCTGTTAAAATAACATGAATTGAATAGTTTATTTTGGATTTTTAGTTGATTTAATATTATTAAGTACAAGCAAATTAGTCTACTGAACAACTTAAGATTAACATTGCATTATTAATAGAATAAGTATTATAATTTTAGTGCATAGTGATGACTTTGCGTTAAAGTTTAATAAAAAACATTATTTCACCAAATACTTGTTTCATTTTATAAGAATTACTAGCTATGTGTATAGTGTATAGTCTATGTGTTCCAAGCCACCTAAATGTCTAATTTCATACAAACCATTCAGTAATTTTTACATGAAAGTATTGAGCATACAACCTTTCGGGTTTATTTTATTGCTAGGAGATTGGTGTGTTCTTTCAACGAATGTAATTAAACCATAGCAGATTTTGTATACATGAAATTCAAATTAAGGATACCTCTTAGGTATTAGCCTAATATTATACAGATAAACGTCGTATTTTTATGAAATAAAAACTGCTATGCTGATTTCAAAAAAATGATTTCAATGATAAACCAAAGCTACATATTTATTGCATAAATCCGCCCCTGCGATGCCGGGAAGGGCAAAAAACATGGTCATTGTGTGATTTCGGTTATTTAATGAAAAACTAATAAAAACTTATTCTATCAATTTAGATACACTCTTAATTGTATCATAAGTTAGACACTATGCTCTTGTTGACATCCGGTTTTTGTTGAGCTGACTCACGTCTAGTTTAACTGTAAGCTTCATGCAAGCCTTTGCTCTAATTGCAATTGAAATAGATAGTTTATTGCAGAGTAAACACATTTTTTCTGTTCCAACTCGAAGTCGAATGATACAAGTAAGGGATACCTTAGTTTATCAGAGGCGACCGAGGGCGTGGGCGACGTGGGCCACCGCCCACGGCCTCGCAGTACTTAGGTCTTGCCCCGCCACTGAGTTAATCATTAATTTTTCGCTTCAAGCATGGATGCTCATTCCTGAATATTTCAGATAAACTTGTCCAGTATTAAATAATATGAATGTACATAAACATATTTTTTAATTTTCTACTCCCTAATATTTAAAATGTGGAGTACATTTTACAATTCTGCAGGTATAAGTACGTGCAAAAATCAAAATTAAAGCTACATGGGTGTGCAGTCCCCTATTGAAAAGCTGTAAAAAACTCAATATTACTTTTAATTCCAGGTTACGCTAACGCCAAAATCTACAAATGTGACAATCCAAAATGTCCGAGACCTACAAGTTTTATATCGGGTGGTTCGTCAAAAGACGACAGTTTCCCATGCCTGCGGCCGGCTTGCACGGGCCGCTTCCAGCTGGTGCGTCACGTGAGCTTCGTCGACTGCCCAGGGCACGACATTCTTATGGCTACCATGCTTAACGGTGCTGCGGTCATGGACGCCGCATTGCTACTTATCGCAGGTATACTTTATTTAGCGTAGCTATAGGAAGCATAAGGAGTATGTAAGGAACAATTTGAGTGGTGGTCTGCATGACTTAAGGCATACATGTATACAAAGTTGTTCAGAAATTTTGAGATACCTAACGAATCCTATCTTATTTAGGTAACGAGTCTTGCCCTCAACCACAGACAAGTGAACATTTGGCTGCCATCGAGATTATGAAGCTTAAACACATACTCATATTGCAAAATAAGATAGACTTGGTCAAGGAAGGCCAAGCTAAGGAGCAACATGAACAAATTGTAAAATTCGTGCAGGGCACAGTTGCTGAGGGAGCACCTATCATACCAATCTCTGCTCAGTTGAAGTATAATATTGAGGTAAGCTTTGTCACTTATTTTCTTTGGCTTGGTTGTATTTTCAGCAAGCTAATAATTTGTCTGATAAAAAATTTATTTTATTTATAGGTGTTATGTGAATATATCACCAAAAAGATCCCAGTCCCACTGAGAGACTTCACTTCACCCCCTCGAATGATTGTTATCCGTTCTTTTGACGTGAACAAGCCTGGTTGCGAGGTCGATGACCTTAGAGGTGGTGTTGCTGGTGGTTCCATCCTGCAGGGAGTACTCACAGTTGGTATGGAGATCGAGGTTAGTACTTGCCAAATCTATCTTAGTACACAATCTGATGTATGATACATCAGATCTACGGCACAAACATAATCTCATATCATCGTCACCAGTCATATTGTCGTCAATTTAATGAGACTAAACTCGATACGTGAATTTACTAGTAAATAGCCCAAGCTTCTACCAGCCACCTTCTCAATCCAACATCAAAACAGCTTGATGGTACCATATCATTGTCTCGATACATTGAGGAATATGAAGTATAAAGTTCTGATTCTTAGATTTTATAATATAGTTAGTTGCAGGTCGACCTAATAAACGCGAAAACATAAGTACTATGAAGTCGGTTAAAAATCGAGATATATTTTCGTTAAGTCATTAAGTATGCTCATGTTTCATGGTATGCTGGATTCAGCTATAATCAACTTTCTTCCCTCAGGTTCGGCCGGGACTTGTGAGCAAGGACGCTGACGGCAAGTTGACATGCCGCCCCATCTTCTCTCGCATCGTGTCATTATTTGCTGAACAGAATGAACTGCAATATGCCGTGCCTGGAGGTCTTATTGGAGTAGGCACTAAGATTGAACCTACACTTTGCCGAGCTGATCGACTCGTGGGACAGGTATTTTATACTGTATTAATTATGTAACATTTTAACTTTCCAGAACTACTTAGAATTAAATAAAACGACGATACGACTACAACGCTCGCCAAACTATGTGACTTCACCATTTATGCCTATACCATCATCCAAAAAAGCCGATTACGATGCGATTCTTTTAAATATTTATGAAATACAGGATGTAAAAAGACACTTAACGAAGCTGTTAACTACGCATACTGCAGTTCTAACTAAGTAGCTTTACGCTAAAATTATCATTGGGAAACGACTTTTATTTTCAGGTATCAAAAAAAAATTATAATTTTATTGCGCGCAATGTAAAGCAAACGGGCTTCGTGTCATTGTGTGCGTAGGTTCACAGCTTAGCATGAAAACGCTGTGATAAGTACGTAGGTCGAAGTTTTAATTCGCAACAACAAAACTATTCTGTAAAATAAAAATCCTACTGAGATGCACGATGTTTTTTGTGCGGGTTCTGATCGTAACTTTAAATGCGTAATTTATTTAGAAAAATCGAAAATTCAGGTAATGCATCTTTGACCTTCAATATCTCGAGAAACCGTGGAGTCCCAGCTATGGTCTTAAAGAAAAAAATGATCCAAATAATGGGTAGAATACGTGACTTTCGGCTTCGTTAAGTGTCTTTTTACACCCTGTATAGCTCATTTAAATATATGAAATATTTAAATGTGTGTGTGAATCTCAAAAATATTCTGCCAGCTTAAACCTCAACCATACCTGGAATTTTGCCAATTTCTTTCTTGTTGTTTGTTTTTGTCATTGTCAGGATAGGTTATGCAAGAAACTTTTAGAAAATAGATAGGAAAATAGCGACGACAGCGTGACTGCCAGTCACCTCCTCTTTGCTATGACATCATGCGAGAACGCAATACGCAGAGACACAATATGTATTTGTCTTTATCACAAGAAGGTTCATATGTAAGGAAATTTCAGAAAATTGGTGATAAGGCAACATTTTCGATTCCTTGACGTTTTGATAACAAATATCTGATGCCGAGAGGCATACCCGTGCGAGTAATAATTAAATAAAAAACGAGCTAGCTTTACATTAGGCCCAACATTTCCTTCTTGAAACAACTCTAAAAAATAAACAAAGTATCACTATGTTACACCTTTTGGGAATAACTGGTGTAATACTTAGAGGTTTTAAGTATGTACTAATATCATTGTGCTTTTCTCAGGTACTTGGCGCCGTCGGTGCTCTGCCTGGAATCTTCGTAAAGCTTGAAGTTTCGTACTACCTATTGAAGCGTCTTCTTGGAGTGCGCACTGAGGGAGACAAGAAAGCAGCCAAAGTACAAAAGCTGACCAAAAACGAAGTACGTAAAATGAAATTTAACTTTTCAACTATAATGTTGTCCGCTCGAACTAAGGCACAAGCTACAGGAAAATTAATAAAATAATGCATAGTCAATGCAAATATCCCTTGACTTGAAATCGAAACAACTTAACAATTCTATCGTATTTTTTTTTATAACATCCAAAATACCCTTTATTCAGAATTTTTTTATTAAGTTTTTTACATCCCTTTTTTGATGACTGGATCGCCTAGGGTGGGGGCAAAAGGGAGTGTCGGAATATTACCGACCAAAAATCATCCCATTCTCTCTCTCCTACTTCATGCCGACGCTGCGGTGCATAATAGCGCTAGCCTCAAGTTGTACTAAAAAAATAACCCATCTTCTTTTTTAACGTTTATCCTGCTATAATATTCCATAGTAAAAGTTTTTTAAATATTCAAGTTATCTTTGTTTTAACAAATTAATTTTATTCTACTACAGGTATTGTTGGTGAACATAGGATCTTTGAGCACGGGTGGCAGAGTAATCGCTACTAAAGCCGATTTGGCTAAGATCGCCTTGACCAATCCAGTGTGCACGGAAATTGGAGAGAAAGTAGCGCTCAGCAGGAGAGTCGAAAATCATTGGAGGTGAGCAAACATGTTTATTCATACTTGTTGAGTAACAAAACACGCGAGCTAACACGAAGCTCACGTACATTTTAGTTAGGTGATCACCAAATATACCTACATAATATTTACTTTGTAAACTACTAGCTTTTTCTGCAACTTTGCCAGCATTAATTAAACCATTTGCTGTTCTGTATTTGCAAAATACGCAAATAAAGTCATGAGTATAAATGTGGATGGATGGAGAGGCAGGGGGAGACCAAAGAAAATATGGATGGATTGTGTGAGAAGTGATATGGAAGACAGAGGAGTTAGCGATAGCGTGACGAGTGACAGGACAGAATGGAAGAAAAAAACATATTGCGCCGACCCCAAATAAAACGGGACAAGGGCATGAAGATGATGATTTGCAAAATACGCAAAATTTCGAAAGATTGATCGAGTAACTAAATCGTAAAGAGGTGTTTACAAACTTTTGCGTTCAGAATATTAGTGGGATGAAATGTTAATGATTACAATGATATTAATTACAGGTTGATTGGTTGGGGTCAAATTCAAGGAGGAGAGACAATCGAGCCAGCAAAGAATTAATGTTATGTTTTTTATACATTGAACTTATTATATGTATTTAATAAAAGCAAATACAAATGTAAATAAAATTATTATTTAATTTCAATTAAACTTGACTACCTATAAAATAAATCAAAATTCGAGAAATCATTTTAGAGAGAGACATTGCCTGGGTAAACAATTTATTTGATTTTTGAGTTCAGTTATGCTTGCAATAATTAATTTAGGCCATGTATATAAAAGTGTTGATATCTTCGTCATCTCGCCGCATGTATTTATGTTCGATTAGCCATTCCAACTGCTCTTTTATCATCTTCTTAGAAGGCAGGAACATGTTTTTCAATATCTCTACCAGTTCACTCTGCAATTAGATATTTTACAAAGGTTAGTCACTTTGGGTAGTAAGTTGCTTACAAATAAAACCTATATTGTATTAGATAGATGGCTGGCTAGATATTCATATGTGTTACAAATTCAAAACCTTTGCTACCTATCTAATATAATAATCCTACAATTTAATTTCGACATGATAATCTGTTAGATATATAAAAGAATAGTGTATACTTAGGCATAACAGAGTTTACAAACATAAGACTGTAAGTTAATACTACTTAAGTCATTTAGACATTCTAAATAAATTAACAATGCAGCTGTGGTGAGCTGTTGAGCAATGACGACCCCACGGACTTGTTCATCATCGAATCACCTCAATCTTGCTGAAGTTATTGAGGAGACTCAGGGGAAGGATATTATATCATAGTAAGATGCTGGTCTTGACCGGACTTCCGGGATTGCTCTGATAGCTCTGGAATGCCTCTTCTTCCCCAAGCAGCTCAAAGTATATTGCCGCCGAGTCACTTACATGTTAGCGGCCGTTTTTGGGGCTCATTAATTGAGTTTGCAAATCATCCCTTGTCTCTTTATCCGACAGGGGCTATTAGTCCATAGCCACCCACACCCATAGCCATTTAATTGTCTATGTCTACGATATAGTACAATACAATAGTCCTGCATCAACTGCAACTGTCCTTGGGTGCACCTTCATAGTGTACACAGGGATAATTGCCAGCTGGTGTGTCATTTCACTTATATTAAAGTAGTTTAAAGGGCCTCTGCAAATTGACCTTGGCCCCTCATAAGCCTTCCAAAGGTCCGGGACCGTGTGGTTCCGTGAATGGAGGCGATTATAATAAGCTATTTGGATATTTATAATTCTTACCTGAAGAGCAGTGTTTGTAATCCTTTTTCTCATCTTTAATATTTTTATAATGGCTTCTTGTGTCCTTAATATTCGAAGCTGAACAATGGAATGATTATCCTCTATTTGAGATCTTTCAGTACTCAATTGAAGTCTACCAATCAAGTTAATTTTTCCCCTGCGTTGAGGTTTACCATTTTTAACAAGAGCAAACTCTTGATTTACCCAGAATGTAGTGTTCTCCGTAAAATCTTTAGGATTCTGGACCACTGGTTCATGGCACAACAACTGCCGTTTCAGTTTTGGGAAAGCTACGAGGGACCACAAAGTTCTCCTAAGTTCAGGATCAGGAAGTTCTGTTGCAAGTCTCAAGTTTTCATAACTAATCTTTTCCATTGGTCTCTGATTCCACGCAAATAAGACAGCCATTTGAAATGTTGTAACATCCAAATCAAATCTACCAACAGAATTGGCGAATGTTATTGTTCCATTGCTCATATGATGATACCACTGTAATTTACGACCTGAATGTTTCTTCTTATAAAACTCTTCAACTTCAGGGATGTAGTCTTCTAACTCTAATGGAAGGCTCACAGTTACTCGTTCAGAGCCACGGGCCCATGCTCCAGCATTTAATATCTTTATATTAATGGCATCATGCCGTGTGGTATCAGTCCTAAACTGGGTGTTAAGGTCTTCACTAACCTTAATGTCTTGGAACATACGAGCCAATTTATTGACATAATCGGCAGGCATACCCACCTCCCTAAGCCACTCCACCATATCTTCTTCTTTTTCAGAATCTGCACTTGAATCTAAGATTAACCTTCTAGTTAGATGTGCCTTGTGATATCTCATAAAGACATCTTTATTTTCTATATATTTTAAGACTAACAATACATCTCTTAACCTTGATTCTATCTGCTCACTTGTCAATCGTTTACTTAGTGGAGTCTTCCGTAACAACATGTCACAATAGTTAGCAAGGAGCTCAGGACATTTGCTCTCAGGAGCAGTGCCTTTGCTACCACGAATTAAAGCTGAAGAAGGTAATTCCAACTTAAACACTGTAGTATCATTAACAACACATTTGTAAGCCTTATCTCTAGCTGTCAAAAACCTTGGGTCATCCAGAAATGCATCTTTAGCCAATGAGCTGAAACGTTTAAACAGATCTAATAAACGTTCCACATATTTTTCTGAATCAGATGTGATAATATCCGCAGAGGCTACCATATCTGCCAAGCCAGCTGAAACTATATGTGCTTCAAGATCTCTTAATATTGGTGTAACTCCTTCAGGGACTCTATCAAGAAGTCGAAACATGAGTTGCAACTTCTCAGTTTCACCAGCTTTAATCAAGGGTGCACTCTCTGCAAGTAAAGTAGGTAGGTGCTCTCCAATTAGCACTTTCTCACAACATTGTGTAAGTGCTGCAACACTGCCACTTCCTGGCTCCAGATATCTATGAGCTCTGGCTTCCTCTTCTTTCAGGCGTTGATCAGCGTATTTCATGTAAGATTGAACTCCATTCGCTAATAATTGTTCACTGGCTTTCAGTTTATAAAATTCTTCAGTAGCTTGCATGTATGCAGCTTCAAAATTCTCTCTGTATATTTGAAGTTTATCCACAGAGTTAGAACACAAATTAACTGCAAGAAAATTTTGTTATTAGAAAAATGTAAGTAATATAATATCATAAAGCAGAAAAGTAGCTACTTACCATATGACTCCCTTACTCCAATTACCAGCTGTGAATCAAAAGATTCACCATTTCTTTCAGCTTGTACCAATTTCATAGCAGAGTCTTGTAGCCTCTGTTTGATATCCATAAAGATACTTTGATTCCATGAGTCTAACATTAACTTTCTTACCAAACTGTCTTCTATGTTATTATTATTATTCTTTTTCTGAGTACTAGAAGTGTTAGAACTGGACACCTTACTTACATTGTTGATAGAATTTTCCAGTTGTCGGAAAGGAGTGGGTAAATAGTTACACTGTGTAAAGAACTTGCCCCATTCAGCTATATAAGCTTTGAGAAGCGCCTGGTCTTCTCGTTGAGCTAGTACGCGGTTCTGAGCCTGTTTTATATACATCATAATATCTTGTTGAAGCGCATCCCTGAGTTTGTATGGACCCCTCTCATCCCACAAACAGACAGAGTGAACAGAACCGAAAAGATCTTGCCATTCTGTTTGCGTTACTGTTTCCTGCTTCAGTAACTTCAAAACTATAGGGCGCATAGCAGGCCATTTATCTTCAAAAGTGACTTGTCCTTTATCCTGCAAATCAAAACCATGAACCATTTTAGATTTCATCAAACACAAGATAATAAGTACAATTATGCATATTTATTTAAAAAAGTGGGAACCTTCAACATGACTCCGTAGTTAAAATTATACAATTAACTTGGTTATACTTCTCATAATCAAATTATATACAGGATCGGGCGATTTGTAATTTTTTTATGAAAGTATTGAGTAGCACAAAATTCACGATTTCGACGTCAATATGCTTGAATGTGAATGAAAATAAATCAAGCATACAAAACTGTAATCGACTAGTTGCTAGAGTAACTCGACTAAAGTTGTAAATATAATTACATTTAAGATTTGTAACAATTAGATGTTATGCCTATTAATTTAATCGTATTTGAAATAATAAAATCCAAAAGGTAAGTCTGTGTTTTCCAGGTATCAGTGTATTATTTATGTCTATTATCTTTTCTTAGACTATAGAAAATTCCTCTATGGTTCTTTTCACTAATCTAATCTATGATAGTAACTGTCAACTCCAAAAAAATGCTGTTGACGTTTTATTTGTAATGAGCAAAACACAAATTCATTGTTGTTTTTAAAAATCATTCTCCTAACCTATTCTATTATAGTTCAATATAGAAATTGCAATAATATAGTAACAAAATGACCACTTTTGGGGAAATAAACGAACCTTCAAGCCGAACTGCATGGGAGGACTGGGATGAAGTTTTGTATACTGAAAATTGTACTGAGTTAGTAAACATTTAGTTATTACTAAAATTCAACAGTGTTTTATTAATCAAACTACGTTTTGAATACCAAATGTTAATTACCAGTGTTTTTATTTTTTTAGCTTACGTTTAGAAAAAGAAGTTGAAGTACCCAAACAAATTGATACTTTCATCATCCTAGAAGGAAAGTACTTGTATGACTGTGTAAGAGCACATCATGAACTGGACCTCGTCAACGCCAGTCCAGAAGTTGGTTTACGCATATTCAAGACTAAGAAACTGAATAACTATGTTTGTATGATAAGGGATTACAACTTAATTCAGAGCAGCGAAATTGTTGAGTTGTTAAAAAAATACATAAATATGAGCATTGATGTTATAGGTATATTAACAAAACCACTAGTAGATTACCAAGTATCAGAGCGGATCACAAATGACTATGTGATCAGATGTCTTTCAGCAAGCAAACCCACAAGAGATCTGGATAAGACCTTCCCTCATTTAGAGCAACCAAATATTATATCTGGAATATGTGCAGGAGGTAATAGAAGCATATTATTAATAAAATTAAAACAATTTGTTGTTTGTGTAATAGTAACACTCATTTGTTCTTTAACTTTTTTAGTTCTGTGCTGGAGAGAAGTCACTGATAAGCCTGCTGTAGTGATTGTATGTTATATGGAACATCCTGAAGAGCAAATAATACTTGAATTGAATAATTTGTTAGAAAAATTCAAAGTTATTTCTCAAGTGGAAAAAGCACATCGAGATAATTTACTAAATTCAAATTTATACATTTAAAGACAAATATGTATATAATTATTGTATTGTTTTAACATGAAATAAATTGTTAAGATAATATGTAAAAAAGTTTTTTTATTTATATAGTCTTATAATGCTTATGCTGAAATAATCGGCAAATGTTGTTTAAACTAGCCAATATTTCAAGCTAATTGATGCATACTAGCTAGTAGCGACATTTAAAAATAATAAAAGGTAAAAAGGTTTACCAACTTCTGTGTAGATATTTATTTACATTCCTAGGACTTACACAGTTGTTAATTATAGGTTGACCAACATTCACAAAATAATGATAGGATAAATACCAACAGAACCAATAAGTAACATGTATCCAATTTTTCTGTTCTGTGTATCCAATATTAGAGAACAATACAAAGCTATGCACACAATGAAACAATTATTATTAACGCGAAAACAAACAGAATCAAATGGTGTTACAGACATTTGTACATTAAATCAAAATTGTAAGATAATGACAAAAACGACAACATTTACAAAAATACCCACTACTAACATACATATATTAAAATTTCAGTGAGAACACCATGAGATCATGACTTAGACCTAGTATATTACTATAATCTATGACTTAGACTTAGCAACTAAATACGTATATATGAAAACTATTAAAACTAAAATAGAATACCTTAATACTACTCTGTCAAGAAAGTACCGGGAAAAAGTCAATAATACACAAAATGTTTGTTATTCATCTAAATTTATTTTATCGCCTTCAAAGTATGCTCCTTCAGAAACGATACACTTACGCCAACGAATAATCCAATCATCGAAACTTCTTTTAAACGCTGTTTCCAGAATTGAGTTCAGTGCTCGCCGCGAATTCTCCAGTTATGTCTTCTAACGATTGAAAACGGGTGCCACGAAGGGGTAATTTGAGTGTGGGGAAAAAGAAAGAAGTTGGCTGGAGCCATATCTGGTGAATATGGTGGCTGCTCGATGGTGTTTGTTGAGTGTTTGGACAAAAAATCGTTTACAATGATGGCCTTGTACGAAGGCGCATTATCGTGATGCAAAATCCAAGAATTTTCTTTCCACATTTCTGGCCTTTTTCGTCGAATTAGTTCTCTTAAACGCCGCATAACGCTCAAATAATATTCTTTATTTACCGTTTGACCTTCGGGCAAGAATTCTGAGTGCACAACACCGCGATAGTCAAAGAAAACAGTCAACATGACTTTGAATTTTGATCGACTTTGACGTGGTTTTTTCGGTTTTGGTTCAGTTGGAAGGCGCCATTCCGAAGCTTGTTGACTAGTTTGCATGTCAAACTCGTAAACCTACGTCTTGTTACCAGTAACAATGCGTTTCATGAATGTTGGGTCGGCTGTTGTCGGTCGGGTGACTCGTTCTAGCATGTCCTCAGCGCCTTTCATGCGATTTAGTTTTTGAAGAAAATTTAGGTCTTTTGGGACTAGCCGAGCGGCAACACGTTTCATACCCAAATTATTTGTTAAAATGGTACGGATCGACTCGTGAGATACAGAAAGTTCGGCGGCCATCTCTCTCAAACTTGAATGAGGATTTTCAGTCACTATTTCCTTCACTTTTGCGATGTTAACTTCAGTTGCAGACGTTGATGGCCTACCAGAACGAGGCAAATCTTCCATCACATCTCGACCGCTTTTGAACGCTTTGTACTTACCACTCATAAGCACGTTAACCGACTTCCAAAAAAAGGAGGAGAGGCACCGACTTCAAGATTATAAAATAGTTATTAAATATTATTTTATATTTAACTAAATGAAAATATGTATTACTTTAAATAAAGTAAATTTATTTTTTGCTTTTTAGTTTACGTTTTGAAGTCGGTTTTTTTTTTTGTTAAAAATTATTTGATAAAGTCGATTCACCGTAAGCCTTCTGTAACATTTTGAGTGCCTCCGAACACGAAATTTCATTGGCGATGCAAAATTTAAGACAAACTCTTTGTTCGATGTTTTTGTCCATTATGAAATTCGCAATACACACTAGATATTATAAAACTAAAAACAGCACTGTTTTTAATATAAATAACAGATGCAACTCAAATTCCGCGCCAAAATGGAAAACAGTTATGCCAATCTAACAACAAAAAAAAAAATTAAAATTCGAATTTGGAACCATAAAAAAAACATTCATTCCCGATCAAAGACCTTATACTCTAAACTAGACTGTGCACTAAGGCGCAAAAACCGAGCCGGTGCGAGACAGCTCCCGATGGTAGTGTGTCCCTTTCTAATGTAGTGACCATGACCAAACAGAATACGGGACAAATTGCTTGTAAAAACGATTATTTAAGTATCATGATATATTGATACTACCAAACTAGCGTAACTTCACCAACCTAATTTTTTGTAAGAAAAAACCAACAATCCAAAACGTGTGTATATTTTTACTCGACTTCCAAAAAGAAGGATGGTTCTCAATTCGACCATATATATATGCTTTTTTATGTTTGTTCGCCGATATCTCCGTTATTAATGAACCGATTATGATAATTCTTTTTTTGTTGGCAAGGAGATAGTTTTAGAATGGTCCCATGATAAGGAAATGAGGATCTGATGATGGAAGACCAGAGAAATTGAGAACTTTCAAAAATTGAAGGTACGAGTGGTGCTTTTGCATGTGGTTTTAGTAGGCTTTTGACAACACTACAACTTGCCGATGTTCGAACTCGACCTGATGATGGAGCCGGAAGACAATCGAGGGATCTCCTTGACTATTTGAAGTAGTTGCCTTGTGTTTGGGCTTGAATGATTCGTATTGATGAGCACTTTGCACAAAGATTGGTAGTGACTGTCAGTAAGGGTCTGATGATGAAAACGAAAGACAGCTCAGGAAACTCCTGACCGTTTTACAGTAACTACAACGTGTTTGGACCTAATTTATTTATATTGATGGAAGCTTTGCAGTGCCGGATTAAGCCAGCGCGGGGCCTGTAGCAAATTCTGTCAAGGGGCCCTTGGTTTGCTAACGGTTCTCAATAGGGTATTAAATAAAACAAAACTGTTACAAAACTTTTCTAGATTTATAGTGAAATTTTGGAATTACACTTTCAATATCGACTTCTTTAAGCAAGTCATGCTCTATATTCAACAACGTGAGATGATTAAAACGTTCTTGGCCCATAGTGTTTCTTAATTCATTTTTAATTCGTTTCAACGTTGAAAATAACGTTCGCCACTGCAGTTTGTGATCATGAGAGATAAGTAAATACGCAAGGCAATTTCTAAATTTGGGAAACACGATTCTAAAGAATTATTTAATAAAAGTTTATAAAATTGCAGTTCCAGAGGCTCCTGTTTCTTGCTGTCAATTACAGTAGCCACATCTGTTTTCAGCAGCTCTGCGAACTGCACTAATTCGCCGTTCTCCAAATCATCTTCGTAAGCACTGAACATCTTTGACCCTTTTTTTTAAAAACTCTTCTGTTGTAAGAGAGTTTATCAGTCGAAATACTTCAAAAACACTAGTAATTTTATGATATGCTTTCATACGTTTAACTATAGCAGACAGTACGTTATCAATTATGGCAATAAACACCTCAAATTCGAAACGTTGTCCAGGTGTTTGATTTTCAACATAGTCGTCGAGTGTATTAGAGTCGCTGAAATGGTCGTACGTACGTATTTCGCTTGATTCGTCGTGATGTCTGTTCCTGGAATTCTTCACAGTTAGTCAAATCTTTGGCTCTTGCCTCATATATCTGAAAATGTGGATCGCATTGCTTGGACGTAGCCAGATAATGATTCATAAAGGGCGTATCCCGTATTAAGGTCTTGATCAGACGATTGTGAAATAAATATTTTTTAACAAAAATATTCCGATTTCAAAAAGAAAGCTAAAAAGCAAAAAATATTTTTTCTTTGTAGAAATTAATACATGTTTTCTCTTAGTTAAATAGAAAATAATATTAATAACCATATTATAATTTTGAATTCGGTGCCAAGCAAAAAAAAAATAGTGTAATCTTTACCTATATAGCTATTGTTAGTTTGATGATTAGGAGGTACCGATCAATATTTTTCTAATACTGTTGCTGTTTGGTATGACTTGGATGATTCACTTGGCAGAGCAAGCAAGGATAATGGTTTTCGAATGAGAAGACGACGACTACTTGAGACCGAAAATCACGATAATTGTAGTAGTTCTGGGTTAGTCAGTGTTCAGTGCTGTAAATCGCTGAGGAATTCCCTCGACTGTCAATGTTCTCCATCATCATTTATACTGCAGACCTTCAATATACTTACGTAATCCGTATAGGTGCAAAGTTCTCATCAATATAAATGAATTAAATCCAAGCACAACATAATTACTCCAAATAGGTAGTCAAAGAGATCTTACGATAGTCTTCCTGCTCCATCATCAGATTTACTCCATAACTTCATTGTAACCCATATAGGTGCGAATTTTTCATCGATATAAATGAATTAAGGCTAAACACGCAAAAGTTACTGTGAACCGTTCAGGAGTTCCCTAAGCTGTCCTTCGTTCTTATCATCAGACCCCTAATGACAGTCACGGTGCACCAATCTTGGTGCAAAACGCTCACCAATACGAATCATTCAAGCCCAAACACAAGGTAACTACTTCAAATAATCAAGGAGATCCTTCAACTGTCTTCCGGCTCCATCATCAGGTCAAGTTCGACTATCGGCAAGTTGTATCGTTGTAATAAATATACTAAAACAACATTCACTACTCGCCCCTACAATTTTCGAAAGTTCCCCTCGGTTTCCCTAGGATTCCATCATCAGATCCCGACCTCATGACAATGGGACCCTCGGGACGTCAATCACGAAAACCGTACTTGAAGCAATGTCAAGACAACTTTTCTCACAAATAGTTCACATTAAAAGTGCTTAGTAGTTTTTTATATTGAATCAAAGGTTTATATCAATTTCTTATTGTTTGATAGTCAATAGAATCCTAATTTTTTTGTTCGAGTTATGGCTAGCTCGATCGATGACAATATCAGGGAAATCCGCAAATGGTTTTGCAGTGTTGC